AAAACACTATCTTATGATTTAGACTATTTCTATTGCATAATTTTTTTTTTATATGTAACAGATATCATCATTCTACACATTTTGATATGATGATCTTAAGATTTCATAAGATAGTTTTGGATTTTTGATATTTTTATGAAATAATTAGAATAAAAATATGTGCAAAATAAGCAGAAACTAACATATCCAAATATGGACATGAAATATCTAACATGCATAGAGTTACTATTTATTTAACATGACATTTATTGGCATATTGTATGCTACTTTTGATTTTTGGTGAGTGCAATTTAATTTTTAGTAGCAGATGCTTTGAGTAGGAAGTCCTTAGGTAATTCTCTTTCATTACTTATTTTTGTAAACTTTCTCATTCGAGATTTGGAGAAGCATAGATCGGAGTTTGTTAGCTCAAATGAATATTCGACCTACTATGAAGAAAAGAATTCAGAAAGTTCAAAAGTAAAATACATTGCATTTGAAGTTGAGTGATTAGATTATTTAGGCTTCATTTGAGACAGCTTTCTTATTGCTTCTTAAAACAGCTTTCTAGTATAAAAGTTAAAATTTTTGTACTCGAAGCTATTTTAAGTAGTAAAAAAGTCATCTCAAACAAAACCTGAATAGAATTCTTAAAACAAATTAACTCACAAGATTTATATCTTAAGCTAGAGTTTTATTATATGACTAAAAGTCATTCTAAAAAACTTTATTAGGAGTGTAAAGATACTCTTCTTGCTCTATATGTAGGATGATATACTTATTAACGCATTTCTAAATGAGTTTGATCGCATTATATATTAAGCTCATTACCTTCTTCTTAAAGCACTCAAGACACTATACTATACATACATCATACAAATTCTCATTTTAATCTAATAAAGAAAGATCATTTCTAATATTTTCTAACCAAGTCTTGTTAGGTCTACCTCTACCTTTCTTAACATAAGTCAAATCTAATACATCAACTTTCCTAACCGAGTTATCGGAAGGCGTGACCAAACCATCTAAGGCAACTCTCTCTAATCTTATCTTTCATTGGAGCTACTCCAACCTTTTCACGTATATGCTCACTTCGTATCATATCTCTAAAGATAAAGCCACTCAGCCACTTACAATATCAGAGCATAACTAAGATATCAATAGGAGGCTTACAACGTCTCTCTTGATGATACAAAGGTAAAAAAAATGCTGAATATATATGAATTTCGATGAGTCTAAAATGCGTTTTTTATTTTTTTTATGCTTTCTTCTTTCTATTTCCATGTTATTTAGCATCTATGCAAAGCTTACACCTGATTTAGGCTCCGTTTGGAACGACTTTTTTACTGCTTAAAATAGCTTTTTGGTATAAAGATTAATTTTTTTTATTAAAAAATTACTTTAAAAGACAGAAAGAAAGCTGTTCCAAAATCTTGCTGCTGTTTCAAATAAGGAAGCAACTGTTGTTGCTATCGTAGATACATGATTGCGACCAATACAAGCAAAGCGATCGCAATAGGGGAAAGAGAAGAGCTAAGACAAAAAGAAAAAAAGCTTTTTACAAGTAGGACTAAGGGTTCGTTTGGGACGGCTTTTTTATCGCTTTCTAAAACGGAGTTTTAGTACAAATTTTTTTATTTTTGTACTAAAACTCCGTTTTAGAAAGCAATAAAAAAGCCGTCCCAAACGAAGCCTAAGATATTAGGCAGAAGAAAACTACTCCTCCATCCATAAAGCTCTGATTTTGATCATTAATTAGAGTTGTTAAAATCATTTCAAGCACATTTAAATTTTGATTTAATGTTTAATATAAATATAATAATTAATTAAATTCTTTATCTCCTTTTTAAAATGTGCATTTTTAGGGGTCTATTAGTTTATTAATTTGACTTTCAAACCAATTGAGTGTTTGACATGCTACTTGAGGATGGGATAAACTCCATAAGAAGCTCAATATAAGATCCAAATAGGGTGATGTGGATTGATCTCTGGACAATCCGGTAACCGCACGTAATAATCTCTCATTCTAATGACTGTTTTCTCTCGACACCTGACACTAATCTTCTTGGCTATTGGATGTGCGCTAGGGTGTCGTGTCAATATTTGACACAACCTGAAAACCCGACTCGAATTCTATTTGAATATTTCGGGTTAGGGTCAACCCAAACCTGTAACTGGTCCGGTTTAGGATCAACAATTCAACCGTTTAAAAAATCGGGTTGGGTTCGGGTTGACCCTTTGACCCGAAATTGACCATTTTTTGACCCAAAAAATTGTTTTGATCCAGGAACCCGAGATTGACCAATTTTTTACCTGAAAAGCGGAGATTGACCCATTTTTGGACCTGAAAACTAACAGTTTTTATGTTGGCACCAGGTCATTCGGGTTGTGTCGGGTTTACCCGGACCCAAAGCGGGTCGGATTCGGGTTGACCCGAATAGTGCCGGGTCAGTTTTCGGGTTAGACCAGAACCCAGCTTGTGACCCGAAATTGGAGAGATTATTAGGTGCAGAGTGCGAACGGGGAGAACCATCCGCACAAGCATTGGGTACCTAGCGGTACCCGCACTCGATACCGCTGGATACTGCTAGGTACCCAGTGCTTGTGCAGACGGTGCGCACTCCGCACCTAATAATTTTTCCCGAAATTGACACCTCTAATGTGCAAGGAAGTTGTTAGGCTGATGGGGGCGCTGGTGCTTAGAGTGAGTTGGGCGATCAGGGAGATGCTAGCTGGGAGTTGACGAGCAAAAAGCTATCTATAAGAATTTGCCAGGCTAAACTTCCAAAAGCCCATATTCATGAGTGTCAAATGAATGCGGATCAATAGAAAAACCAAACTTGACGTGGACTAAGCCTGAGGAAGTCCAAAAGGAAGTTTAATACCTCATTTCATGAGTTAAGCATTTGTGCAATAATTTTCAAGATCAAAATAACTACACTTCACGTATCATAACAACATGTAATAAAATTGCTATGAATATGCGAGACAAAGCTGAACATGAAAAATATGATTGGAGGGGTGAAACCTTTCAAGAAAATAAAGCCAAACTCTAAAATATCAAGCACATTTTGGTATAACGGTTAGAGTTTCATTCTAAAGTTAAGCTTATTCGTACAGGAGCCACTCTTCGGATGAGTGATCTCCTAGAAAAATTACACCAATAAGACAACTATCAGGCATTAGGTCGAAGCGGATAATGTTTTGATTGTTAAGAGTTTGGACTTTTACAAATGGTATCAAAGCAATACACGAGCCGAAAGACGAGAACTCTATATTTAGAATCTTATCTGTCTGGTGGATTATTTTAGGCTAAGGAAACTAACAACGACGTCAATTTTCTAAGTGGGGGAGATTGTGAAACCCTTGATAAAATAAACTAGACTCTTAAACTAGACCTGTCAATATTGGACCCGACCCGACCCCGACCAAAAAATTTTAGGTTTGGGTTGACACGAACCCGAAGCGGGTCGGGTTCGTGTCCGGAAACCGTGACCCGAAATTGACAGGTCTATCTTAAACAACTAGGCAACTTTTAATGTAATAGTTGGAGTTTTATTAGAAACTCTAAAATTAAGCATACTCATAGAGAACCACTTCTTAGAGGAGTAGCATTCTTAAAAGTTACATCAATGGGACAAAAATGTGAGTCATTATGTAAAAGCGAATGATATCTTGATGGTTAAGAATTTGGGTTAGTTATAGAATATATAAGAAATGACTAACAATCAAATAAATATTCAAGTGACCTACAATAAGCATTAAGGATAATATGACTAATAAACATCGTAAGTTTTCCCATAATCATTTTAAAAAAAATATATATCTCAAGACTGCAATTAATAAATAATAACATCAAAGCTTGGTGACCAACTATTGTTAGGATCTCATCCTAAAATGCACAGACACAGATATGGTGACACTAATGGGACACAGCACGGACACGAGACATGTCAATTATTGAAAATATAAGACACGGATAAGAGTTGGACACACTATTAAAATTTTTATATTTTAAAAATAGTGTATAAAATTTGAATAGTATAATATTAAAAAAAATTTAGAAATAATAAGTCATTTAACTAGAATATGTATTTAGAATGATTAATATTAGGATGTTGAGAGTCGGGTGTCGATGCTGTGTATCAAGCATCAAGAGAGGAGATGATAATGTTGTCGAGAGTCGAGCATCGATGTTATGCAGTAAGTATCGGATGTCGATGTTGAGATGGCATATGTCGTTCATGTGAAGTAGATGTTGGACAAAGATGAGTTGGCAAGTAGTTGGTGTAGAAATTGCTAGTGTCAAGCACCAATGTCAATACAATGTCAAACTCTTATGTTAAGAAAGTTTTGAAACTTTGATGTTGTAATAACGTTAGATGTAGATGTTGAAATGACATCAGGCATTGTTATGGAAACAAAGTAGCGACGTGCCAAATAGAAATGAAATTGAAAAATTCGATGAATGAGGTATTGAGTACAAACGATTGATTTGATATTATGGAGAGAAAATAAGAAATTTAGTTTTTTATATTTTAAATAAAAAAATTAAATACAAGAAATTATTTTAAAAATAAAATTCATAAAATATTTAAGACATGCATTTATTTAATATTTTTTAATCAAAAAAGTTTTTGACGTGTTCGACAATTGCCGGAGGTGTATTGGATACGTGTCGAACACTACACATCTCTTTGAGAATAGTGTTGTGATGCATAATCATTGTAGCTGGAATGAGAATCGCAATCTTAAGGGAGAAGGGAAGACTCGTACAATTCGTTGATTTTGCAGTCTGCAACATTATACAAGGCGAGGGAGAAGGAGGCTTATGGAACTTCTGGTCAGGAGGAACAATGACAGGGAAAAGTGCGAAAATAATAGCATAATTCTCTTATTATCATAATATGAGTTGGGCTTCTTTGCTTAGTCATCTTTGTTGTTTGTTGCGAAAAATAGAAGAGAAATCATTACAATTAAAAGGACAAAATCCAAGAAATGATCACTAACTGGAAGCCTTTTCTTAGTAAATACAAAACATTATCCCCCTAAAAAAAGCATCAAATAGTTCCCAACCTACTCAACATTGTTCAAAACTTTCTGAGGTTGATTTCCAATTGGAAAACACCATAAGAGGAAAATGCTCAAGAAATCATACCACAGTGTGAAGCAAAAAGATAATATTGAAGACCCACCGCAGTTTAGCTCGGTTGGGAACCCCCCCCATCCCGAGTTTGATTTTCTCGAGCGGTTGTCGCCCTTAAGTGGGGCCCCTAAGCACCGGCTAAGAGTACTGTAGGCGTGGGTGGCCCGGTAGGTCGGTTGGGGTTTACGGACCGCCAAGCGCACTCGGCAAGTCCAGGCGTGACAGCGAACGGTTCCTCGTCATCAAAAGAAAAAAAAAAAAGATAATATTGAAGCATTGTGCCACAATTCATGGAGCTAGCTAAGTTTAACAGCAACCAACTTTCTTCTTCAAGGCAGAAACTTCATCTTCCATGCTGACACTAATCGTTTGCCCTTTTGGTAAGACTGCAACAGCATCACCAGCAACAAGAGCCTTCCTGCTGACAACATGAAAGATCTCAGTGAGGACTTCAGTGAAGGCATGGTCGACATTCATGGACTCCAAGGCTGATGTCTCCATGAAGAAAGTGTTCTCTCTCTCAGCCAAGGCCTTGCCATCCTCTGTCGAGACCACCCGAAGATGGCGCAAGTCCGCCTTGTTCCCCACGAGCATGATCACGGCATTAGAGTCAGTATGGTCTCTAAGCTCTTTCAACCATCTCTCCAAATTCTCGAATGTGGCATTGCGGGTGACATCGTAGATAACAAGGGCACCTACTGCACCTCTGTAATATGCGCTTGTGATGGCTCGGTATCTATGTGAGAAAAAAACTGGTGATAAATTTGAAATGCTTTACTCATATAAATAGCATGGAAACCTGAAAGCTAGTTCTATTCATCACAAAGCAACTAGCAGAGGAAGCAGAAGCGGTGGTTAGTTGAGAGCAATAGAAATAACAAACAGGGACCTGCAACCTGCAGCTTGCTGTAGTTGTTGATTTGGAATTATTATCAAATTTAAATAAGCTTTTATTTGGAAAGTTTTTAATGGCTCATTATTGTAATAGATTATCCTAATTAAGTTGATTTGATTGGAGATTTGATTGATGCATTTAATAGGAAATCTAATTATTGTATTAATTAGGAATTTGATTGATGCATTAATTAGGATGTATAATTATTGCATTAATTAGGATTTGATTGAGATTTGATTGATGCATTAATTAGGATATATAATTATTGCATTAATTAGGATTTGATTTAGATTTGATTAGGATCAGATTAGGAAGCTTTTTTCTGATTTACTTTGGCTCAAATTTATAAATAGAACTCTGAGGGTTATTGTATTGTATGCATGAGATGAGAGGAAGAGAGAGAGCTTGAGCTCATTGTAATCCCTATTGTTCTCCAATATAGTGAAGTCATCATCCCCTATTCGTGGATGTAGGCATATTTGCCGAACCACGTAAATCGCCGTGTTTATTATTATTTTGTTGTCTGATTTTGTTTCTACTACAATTGTATGCACAACAATTGGTATAAGAGCCGGATTCGGTGGGATTTTTTTGTGGTGACATGGAGAACGAGAAATTAATCAGTTCTTTCTATTCATGTGGTTCGTCCATGCGAAGGAAGAGAGTCAAATTGGTGTAATTCTAGCTACATGAGACAACTGCAATTTGGTGGAGGCTATGCAATCCGGTGGAACCATGGATACATCCACCTCGTCAATGGAGAAGGCATTGATTCATCAGGTGGTTAAACATCCGGTCAAAATTGATGTGACAAAATTTGACGGCAAAGGGAACTTTGGCATGTGGCGATGTGAGGTGATGGATGCGTTGTATTCTTTGAATCTGGAGGAATTTCTAGAGAGCAATGAACATCCCAAGGAGAGAGAGATTGGCTCAAGATGAACATGAGTGCTTGTGGCTTGATAAAAAATTACTTGTCTCAAGAGATCAAGAACGGGGTGATGATGGAGACTTCTGTTGTAAAGCTGTGGAAGACCTTGGAGAACAAGTATTTGATGAAGAGCATAGAAAATCATATTCATATGAAGCGGCGACTCTATAAGTTTTAGATGAGGCATTAGATTATAATTGGGGAGCATTTGAATGACTTCACAAAGTTATTGATAGATCTTCTGAATCTGGATGAAGAGACTGGAGGTGAAGATAAGGCGCTTCTTCCGTTAAATTTGCTCCTGGATGAGTACGAAAACTTCACAATGATGCTCATTCATGGGAAGGAGATCTTGAACTATAGTGAGGTGACTACTGCATTTTTGAATCATGAGTTCCGACGTAGGGATAAGGATTCTGCAAAGATAGATTCAACTGAGGCTCTCACACTCCACCAAAGAAGATCTAAGAAGAAGAAGAAGGGTGGCAGCAACCAGGGCATGTATCGTGGGCACAGTCTTGAAAAGAATCAGTGTGTTTTCTGCTTGGACTTTGATCATTGGACGAAAGATTGCCCGAAGTTGAGGAGAAGGGAAAGGGAGTGTCCATTGAGGCTAACTTTAGCGTGGAAGAGTTTTGAAAATTCAGATGTATCACTATCTATACTTTTTTTGGAGTTTTTATTCAGATGGTTCATGCTGGATTATGGATACTGGTGCTACCTATCACATTTATCCCACCAGGAAGTGGTTTAGTACCTACAGGGAGCTTGATAATAGTGTTGTGGCCATAACAAATGATCAAGCCTGTCGTATAATTGGTGTAGAAAGTATCTTCATTAGAATGCATGATGGTACTGTGAGAGAGTTGACTGATGTGAGGCACGTTCCAAATATCATGAAAAATTTGTTGTTTGTTGAGGCTTTAGAGACCAAGGGCTACAAGTTAGTCATTAAAGGAGTTTTGAAGATACATCATTGAGTACTGGTTTATCTGAAAGAAGTTTGTCACCACAACCTTTACTACCTCTAGGGAAGAATAATGATTGGATCAGCTATTGTTGTTGATGATTCTTCTGATGCCACTGCATTGTGGCATATGCAGCTAGCTCATGCCGAAGAGGCTTCTTTTATGGCTTTGATGAAGCAAGGATTGATTAAAAGAACAAGCACCTGCAAGCACAATTTCGGTGAATATTGTGTGTTTGGTAAGAAGACATGTGCATCCTTTGGTACTTCCATCTACAATACAAAGGATATCTTGGAGTATATTCGAACTTATGTTTGGGGCCCTGCGAAGACAGCATCATTCGGCGAGCAACGATACTTTATCTCTTTTGTTGATGATTACTTTAAATATATTTAGTTGTACACTATGAGACGCAAGAGCGGGGTATTAATGATTTTCAGAACTTGGAAGAAGTTGATTGAGACTAAGACTGACAAAATGATCATGTGTATCAGATCAGACAATGAGGGCAAATACACTTTGAATACATTCTTGTAGGTGTGCTAAATATATGGAATATAATTTAGCATTACTTCACTGTTAGAGAAACACCGCAGTAGAACGGGGTGGAAAAGAGAATGAACTAGACTATGGTGAAGAAAGTTTGGTGTATGTTATCTATTGTTGAGTTGGATTAAGTTTATTGGTCTGAGGTGATAGACTATGCCTGTCACTTATAGAACCATCTGCATTTTGCATCTATTGGGAAGAAGACCCAAAAGGAGATGTGGTCAGGACATCCTATTAGAGATTATGAGTTCTTGAGACTGTTTGGGTGTTTAGCCTATTCTCATGTTTAGAATAATAAACTAGAACCAAGGGTGAAGAAGTCGATCTTTTTGGCTTCATGCATAGAGTGAAGGGCTTCAAACTCTGTGATCCAATAGAGAGGAAGATTATCATCAGCAGGGATGTTACTTTTAATAGGGCTAGCTTGTTGAAGCTTCGAGACTCTAAGCACGTTGAGAGTTCCACTGGGACTACATATGCACTGTAGAAATTGGAGTTTGATGCAACTTCATTTGCTCCACATAGGAAGCTCATTTCTACCCAGGTACCTGATTCAATTACATATCGGGAGGTAGAAGATGATGTTGAGGAGATTCCTTTTTAAGAATCTATTACAAGTAGTAGGGTCAGGCACTAGAATGTCCCAAAACCAGCTTAGTTAAGGGATCACATTGCATTTGCACTTTCATCCACGGAGGCTAAAGTTCCTAGTCGCTATAAGGAAGATGTGGACAGTCCCGATTGTGTTTCATGAAAGAGGGCTATTGGGTGAAAGTAGATACGTGCAAAGAAGGAAGAATCTCATGGAGATGATGTGCAGTACAATACTAGGTTGGTGGACAAAGGCTCAGTGCAAAGGGAAGGGATTGCTTATGATGGGTGTTCTCCCCAGTAGTTAAGAATACCTCATTCTATGGTTATTTGGCACTTATAGTACAGTATGGTCTGATTTTAGAGCAGCTCAATCCAGGCATTACACATGAAGTTGACGTTGTGAGCAGGTTCATACATGATACATGAATGAGTCATTAGCAAAATGTGAAGAGTATCCTGAGATACCTAGAGGATATAATTGATGTAGGCTTGGATTTGCAGTAACCACGACAATGGTGCATGAATCATGATTGATTGTCCACTTGTTTGAAGAAATACGTTCGGCTTGATCCCTTGGGAAGAGGGTACGTAGACAATCATTTGGGTGTAGTCGTTCTGATGTTGGAGCATGGTTTATCATATTTCACTTTATGAAGTGGAAGATGAGGTGGAAATTATTGATTTGGAACTATTTTCAAATTGAAATAAGTTTTTAATGGCTCGTTATTTTAATTGATTAGGGAATAGATTATTTCTCTAATTAAGTTGATTTGATTGGAGATTTGATTGATGCATTAATTAAAATATTTCATTATTATATTAATTAGGGATTTGATTGGGAAGCTTTTTCGTAATTTACTTTGGCTCAAATATATAAATAGAGCCCTAGGGGCTACTGTATTGTATGGATAAGACGAGAGAAATAGAGAGCTTGAGCTCATTGTAATCTCTATTGTTCTCTAATATAGTAAAATCATTATCCCCTCTCCGTGAACGTAGGCATCTTCGCCGAACCACATAAATAATCGTGTTTATTGTTATTTTGTTGTATGATTTTGTTTCCGCTGAGATTATTTGCACAATAGTAGTAACGTAGCCGAGCCCTAAGTGTTGAAGGAGTTTGGTCAAAAGGAACATAAGAGGGAAAATGAAAAGAATTGGGAGGTTTTCTATTGAATTTATCGCAGAATTCAAGCGGAGCAGGAATAAAACGGTCCATTCCCATACAACCTCTATAAAAAGAGCAGACCAAATCTATAAATACTAAACTAAATTCAACCTACATTTATCCTAGTTCTGGATTTGAATTTAGAAAAATAAGCATATCAGAAGTTTGAAATAATTCAAACTCATCGTTATCTTATTATATTTTGAATTTCAATCCAACGTTCCAATGTCTAGAGTCGTGATCTCTCCTATATGATGTTTGATTGATTAGCTTGTAGCGCTTATGAACTCATGGAAATATTTTCTTCTATCTTAAAGGTGTAATCTAAAAATTACTACCATAACAATGTTCATCAAGAAATCAGATAATCTTGCATCAACTAATTTAATTTCTTGAACCCTTCATGATCTGATGTTCAAATTATGCGGGATGTTTTTCCTGTAGTTTTCCTTAAAGTGAATGTTCACATTGAACATCCATTTCATAATCCGATCCTCAGATCACAGGTCCCCTTTAGGATTTTGCTCACATAAAATTAAAACTCCAGATGATGAAAAGTTGAAGGCCCAACTTCTGATGTAGCATTTAGCTGTGCATGATTACTGGCCTTTTCTAGCAATGTGAAATATCTCCTTTTAACTAAGTCATATGGTGGTATTCTTCTACATATTAGAATATGCAGTTCTAATTAGCATTATCCTGCTCCACGATTAGATCATCCATATAATGTAGGATTTCTTCTAGCTTGCCAATAAGCATGGGAGGTTCAAAGGGTTTCAAATTCTCCAATATTTACAAGAAATATATCTTCCTGTAAGGCAGTGGCACAAGTTGGCAAGAATTATCTCTAATCTTAGAATTTTAAGAGCTCATAAGATGTTGGCTTGAACTTCTTTTCTTCCTCTTTGAGGTGGTTCGTGCTTAAGTTTAACAAGATAAAATCTCCTACTTAGAAGTTATATTTATGTTGTTCTACACCAATATATGAATTCTGCGGATGACCTTCAGAAATCTTTGAGCACTTTTTTGTTCAAATTTAATCGCATCATCCGTACCAAAGTTGTGGAGAATTGAACATCAAAATTCAAGAGGATTTATCCAGGTATCCCAAGCAAACTTCAGATGATATCTTCATAATGGAAGAGTGCACAACCCTCTTGAAGGCCAATTAAAGTTCAAAAGGCTGTCATCCTAAATTTTGGGATGCTTCATGTAGTACCGTTGTAGTAGATGCACCATAATTTTGGCCATCACCTTTATTTGGTTGTTAGTCTATAGATGAAAAACAATGCACCTCTTCAATCTAGCATACAACATGGCCCGTAAAACCTCCTAAATCTAGCTACAATCTCTATTTTATAGGCTAAGTATTGACAAACGTGAAAAAAATGATGATGTCATAACTCAAATAAATATTTATGTGGACTTATAGTTAATTAATGAAAAATGATTTTATACCCTTTTATTCTTTTTATAATCAATCACCAAAGATATAAGAGAATCAAGGAACTAAACACCCAAATATAAAATAATAATAATAATAAATAATAACTAAAAAATGGTTCAAGCAAAGTTCACTTGGTTCAAATCAAATAAAACCGATTTACGCCAATCTAATTCAGTCTACTCAATCTTAGACTCACCAATATATAAAAGAACTCACCTCAAGCAACTGACCATATGTGAAAACCCTTAAGTAAAAAGAAATTAAACTCTTAAACATCGAGGTGCCTTTTGGTATATAATATTGAAATTTCATTAAGAAACTCCGCAATTAAGCGTGCACATCCTGGAGAAATCATGGGATGCGTGTGACCTCCTGGGAAGCTATACCAACAGGAAAAAATCGTGAGATCCTTACGTCAAAATGGACAATATCTCGATAGTTAATAAATTCAGATGTTACAAATGGTATTAGAGAAATATACCAATAGGAAGATGGGAACTAAGTGTCATGCAAGACAAAGTGCTATGTCATGGGAGTCACCTCTTGAACTTTGTATGAGACGAAGTGCTATGTGGCGGGAGACACCACTTGATCTTGTGGGGGCACCTCTAGAATCCATCTATCTGGTGGATGATTTTGGAATAAAGATACTTACGAGGACATCAATTACTTAAGTGGAAGAGATTGTGAAACCCCTTGAATAAAAAGAAACAAACTCTTAAACATCGATGTGTCTTTTGGCGTAATAGTTAAAATTCATTAAGAAACTCCGCAGTTAAGTGTGCCCATCTCTGAGAAATCCTAAAATGGGTGACATTCTGGGAAGTTACACCAATGAGACAAAACTGTGAGGCTCATAGGCCAAAGTGGAAAATTCTCGATAATTAAAAGTTTGGGCTGAGTTTCTACAATTTTAAGTAATTTTCTATGATCAGGGACATTTCAAAATATTCTCAAAGTTTCTTAGTCTAGAATTATTTTTTCTCTCAACCTTTTTGTTCCTTTTTTTCCTAGTATTCTTAGTATAGTTAGGTATAATTCACAAACAATTCTGAATTCAACAAATTGGATCTTACCAAGTAACATGGTTAATTCAGAGGATCTTAATCCTTCCTAGTAGATAAAGGTAAAAGACATTGTCTCAAGAGCCACACCCCGGATAACCTAAGAGGCATTAAAATCTAATGTAAATCCCTGTAATCCTAACAAGAAGCAAGCAAAGCCCCACAAATTCAGATCTCAAGCCAGATTCTCCTCACCCTCGACAAATTACACAAACATACATAACACGAAATGGTTGAAAATAATGGTTATCCCCAAACGACTAAAGTTAGAGAAAAAGGTTAAGATTGAAGACCTTTCTTGTCCGGCAGTGTCCCAAATCTGAGCTTTGACAATCTTTTCGGAGACTTGGATGCTCCTGGCAGCGAACTCCACTCCAATGGTGGACTTGGATTCGAGGCTGAACTCGTTCTTCGTGAACCGCGATAGGAGATTCGACTTCCCCACTCCCGAATCTCCGATCAACACCACCTTGAAAAGGTAGTCGTAGTCGTCATCTGACATATACGCCATTGCCAAGCTGCAGTCTCCGCAGCCTCCTAATGGCGACAGGTTCTCTATCGTTTCCTCCTCTCTCAATATCGCAACTTCGTTTCTTCAAAAGAGGAAAGAAGAATCGCGGTGGTGAGATTGCTCGTCATTGCCGTCGAGCACAGAGATGAACGATAATGGCGGAGAAACGAAGGATCCTCGTCGTGACAAATGGCTGACCCGCTTTTGACATGTAGAGCTATATATGACAGAGATGCTAAACTTGAAGCTTCAGGACGCGGCGGGCAAAACTGAAAGGGGACGCGTGAGCTTTCATTTCGGTGGTGTTTTACCGTTGCGAACTCGTGGCCTGTTTTGTGGCAAATTAGTAATATTGAAAATTTTAAATTTAGATCAAAGTAAATGCTAGTCCCCTGAAAAGTTGGATCTATTTGATTTCCCATGAAATGAATTAATAAAAATATATTTTTCTATTTGATTTGATGAAAATTGTAGAATATGATGCTTGATAATAAAAAAAATGAAGTGATAAGATCACCTAAAAAAATATTATTAAAACTTAATGATTATGAATAAGTAGTTTTTTCGTGAAATTTTGAAATAAATAAGATTCTGAAAAGTATATCGAACATAAAATCAGAAGAATGGGAGACTAAGGTTCAATGTTAATCACGAGTTGAACGGGATGGTGAAATTTTTATTTAAATATGATATAAATGATATAATAATAATGAAATTATAATATTATATGATAATAAATAGATAAAATTATATTATAAAATATAGATCATATATAATAAATAACTTCAATAATTTTATATTTATACACCAATATTTAATAGACTAATCTCTTTTTTAACAAGGATAATAATAAGCATAAGAATTGAAGAGAATAGCATTGGAAAAGCAATTTATTTGGCATTGCATGCTATGTTCATTTTAATATATATTCTTTTTTCATTTCACTCAAACAAAATAATAGTTCACTTTCTTATGAAAATAAAAATATAAATAAAGTAAATATATTTAATGGAGCTTATTTGTTTCTTTTGAGGAAAAAAAAGAATAAAACTATTTCCTATAATTCATAAAAGGTTTTTTTTTCCCACTCTTTTTTTAAAATAAAAGTTATCATCCTAATTAGTAAGCATAAAAAATCCTTCAATGCATTATGTTAAAGTCCATTAAAAAATTTTTTTTGTTTTGAAGTAAAAAGGGTGTAAAATATTTTAGCATAAAAAATCCTTCAAGTGCATTATGTTAAAGTCAATTAAATGATTTTTTTCGTTTTGAAGTAAAAAGGGTGTAAATTATTTTTAGATATAGACTTTTTAAAATATTAATGTTTAATTTGACTTATAAGAGATATATAATAAAATTTTGATGTGTTTTAAATTTTTATAACTTTTCAAGGTGTTTTGATTGGTTAAAAAGGGTCTAGAATCAAAGTAGGTCATATGGAATCAATGTTTAGTGAGAACCCTTATTAGGTTTTTTAGTGAATTTTTGTGGGTAAATAGATGAGAAATGAGTGTTGGAGTGTAAGGGGATAAGCGTAGAAGACTTTTATAGCAAAAAAAAAAAAATCTTAGAAGATCACCAAAATAGTAATTAAGATTTGAAGATATCACAAATTCCTTCAAGATTGACCCCTCGGTCTGGGTTCGGATTTTCAACCCGTTTATCTACCCTGGTGGGACTAGGGTCGACCCGTTTGAGTCCGGGTCAGTTCGGGTTCGACCCGAATCCGACTCGTGACCCGAAATTGACACCCCTACTTCATTGCATCAAGTTTAAATAGTTTTGCAACACCACATTTGAATTGCACTAAAGAGGGAAAAGGAGTGAGCTCAAGCATATTAGTGAGTATTAGGGAGAGTGAGGCAACTTCCAATAACTATCCCCTTCAATTTGCATTGGCTGGCCTACCAGTTATTGACCCATATTAATTTGAATTATTTCAACAAATAAACATATGTATGTAAAGAAAGATCAAATTTCCTCCAAATTTTGAAATTTAAAATTAGAATTTTGTACTTATAATTTATAATTGCTAATGAGAATTTAAATAATAAATACATAGCCTTTTACAATATTTATCACGCACATAAACATAAAAATAAATTTCTACTTAATGTCTTTCATTTTTGTTCTTATCCTTGGTCATTGAATCTTCTTAGTTTTCTTCCTGCTATTGGTCCATTTATTTTTGAATGCTCATCTTCTGCTAGATCAATTCTCCAAGGCCTCTGAGAACCCTTCTCTAAAGAGTTGAAGTGATCAAGGTTATTTTTCATAAGTTTTGGCACCAACATCTCAAAATGAGGTCTCATAACCCAAATGTCCTCTATTGGTGGTTTATCCAACCACCTCACAAGAAACATATTATAATAATCCAAAATATGAAAAAGTAATTTTAAAATAAAATTATGAATTTATGTTTGAACAGAAGTGCTTCAACATTGTTTTTGGTAGCATTGTGACGCTAAGCTTGAGAGCACAACAGTGTCAAAAACAACCGTCACAATATTGAATATTTTGTTCTATAGTAATTATAAATTCAACAAGCAGCGTTGGGTTGGAGCGTTGTGGCTGTAAGCCACTAATAGTATATATATATATATAAGCGTTAAAAGCCTCAGCGCCATCACATTTTACCTATTTCAGTTGGCTTATCGTGGAAGAAGAGAGGGTAAGGGAGAGCAATAGGAGATAGGAAAGAGAGAAAAAACGAGTTTTAGTCTTTTTTATCCATTATTTTAGTTCGGAAAAGTATTCAAATCGTTGTAAGTGACCCGAATCTCACTCTGGTTTTCAATAATTTTGAATTTGGTGAATTTAATCTCTCCTAAATCAATAAAGATGCATTTTGACCTAATTTAACGTACTTTTATCATGTAGCTTTTCATATATGATATATATGGACTTTATGGACATTTTGACTATAATATTATTAAATTTCATAGGTTAAAATGGAATTCATGATTTTCTGAAGTTACAAATTGATATATAAATTTCTTTGATTTATAGATTGAAGTTACAAATTGATATATAAATTTCTTTGATTTATAGATTTCAGCATTTCATATTATATTTCATCCATGAAAGGGAAATTGTAACAACTTATATAAAATAAATATAGTACATGCATATGAGCAAGGAATGTTGATTGTCAATATTATAATTAATATGGGCTAACTATTAAAACATAATACCTTACACAGGAGGGTGGGCAGAAGGGCTTTTCTTTAAAGATGATTGTAGTGTTATCCTAATTGCATCATGCAATTAATGGTTGATTATGCTGATGGATAGAGAATGATGACTCTTAATAATTTATTGAAAGCCCCACCTGTAGTGATAAAATTATATATCTTATAATGATAATGATAATAATAAATACATATGTAGGAATGAAAACACCATAGTAAAGCTGGATGTCCTACCTTGTTGAATAATATAATCCATACATTGATAGCATTGTAGTATTAATAGCACTTATAAATAGATAGAGAAAAGTGTGAGCATTACATATATTGATTTCATGTATTAAGTTTATATAATAAATAATTGATAAGATGGGCAAGAATGATAATATTGACACATGTACGTTCATGCTACATGATCACTAATTTGTTTATTTCTGATGTGTTTATATTTTTAGACCTATTATTAATTTATTAATTTAAGCATGTTGATTCTCATTTTTTGTTATTGATTATATTGAATCGTTTAAGTGATGATTGAACATTGAACACTACTAATTCTATTAATTGAGATGTGTATGTATATTGATTTTCTTATATATTATATAATCAAAGCTTTAATGAGTTGGGTTTATACTAGGCTTTATAAGCTCATTATATAATTTTATTAATTTCAAGATATGGATGGTGTCATGATCATGTGGAGTGAGCCTGATTTATATCTTAAGGTTCTTCTTTTGATTTTATTTCCATTTCTTTTATTCTTTTGTAGTTATGAGCTATTAATAGGTTAGTGCTTGTCATCGTATTCATCACTCTTGTAAGTAGGAAAGAGATTATAATTGGTCATGATGTCAACAACATACATAATTTTTTGTTAACCATAACATGTTACATGTTGCAAACCTTAGCTTTCCATGGCCTAATCATCTCCGATCTTTATTTTCTCTAATTCATCCATTGGCATAGCACCACAATGGTGGCATTAAGGCTAGGTCAAAGAATAGTGATCCTTAACAGTGCTATAACTTTTTGTTTTGATTTAGTAATAAAAGCCAAATCCTCCATCCAGTGGCGGAGCTAAAAAATTTATTCATGAGGGCCCTAAATTAAACATTACATGAACATCACCCATTAACAGCTTAATCTTCCAACGGTTAAATTTTCGGCAGTTTTTCGATGGTCAATTTTCCGGCGGCTTGCCATCTCATACGGAATGTTATAATACATTAAAATAGTTCCGTTTGTTATTTCATTATTGGAGCGAAGATGAGCTCTAAGATCAAAATTAAGAATGCCAATAACATGGCAATAGAGGAAAAGAAAGCCATTTGGGAGCGGTCTCTGTTTGGGCTTGTGATAGAATATTAATTGTAGGCAGAGTAAAATTTTTAAAAAGAAAGTAATTGTGAAAATTAATAAGAAAATTATTCTAAACTAAGCCTAAAATATATTCTTGCATGTTAAAACATAGAATTATTATGTCTTATTTTTTATAAAATAATGTTAATTTTCTTATTTAATTAAATTGATCATCCACATTTAAATTTGCTTTAAAATGAGTGCAATACATAAAAAATTCAATTAAAATGTATATTACACATATCTCAAAATAAATACAATACATTTAAGATCTATTTTGACAAAAAATAGATCAATAAATTATGTAACTATTTTTTTATAAATAGGTTACATGCATTAAAAATCATGACTAAATAATTATAGTTTATACCTACAGCTTTTATTTTTTTCATAAAAAAATTATTTTAACCTCTATGTCACACACCTGCCTATGCCTCCATCTAAATCATATAGAAGCTCCTAATTCTTATATGAGATTATGTATAAGAATAAATAAATTTATATGGTAAATAGTAAGTGTAAGGTCTCGTTTTTCATGCTCTATTAAAGTCGTTCATGTTTTTTTATAAATTTGAATTCTAATTTAGTAGTCTAGCTTCATAAGCTGGTCAAGTTTGAATAAAAGTATAGAAAGATCTAATACAACGTAAAACTAGAACTTTCCATACCACCAAAAGCTCTAACCAACTCAACTTCTAACTGGTTGGATCCAAAGTGAACCACCTAGCTAGTCCTGGTTTTTCACCCAACTCTATCCCTTTCACATCAACCATATAATCTAGGAGATACTGACATGAATACCACTTACAAACCTGCCTGAAATCCATTCTTATCAAGCGTTCTACTCAAACCCTAAAAGATTTCACCTTTTAACTCAGATATGTATGTATCCATCATCGAACTATCCAACCACTCCAATAAATAATGCTACTTCTATTATGGAGCAATCAATATATAAGGAATTTCTTAGTTATATCATAACGACTCCTTTCCATAATATTGTGTTGCTTTCTAGTTCAACTCACATCCAATCAGCCAAGAGACAATTAAAACCCACCTAGCAACTGATTGCCTCCACTCTTCTAAGTATATCATATTACTCTTGTCCTAAACTTTGCTATCCACCTCAACAATGAGTAAGATTGGTACTCCAATTACAAATACATATTTTTGCAGCTAGAAAAACTTTTAAACTTTTGAGAATAATTGAGACCTCACTCTTATAACATGAGAGACTATGATCTAGAGACATTGAAGAACTTATATCCTCCTATTTGTGCTCGAGAATGTGAAACTTTTAACTCTCCATCTATAATGTATGAAGTCTAACTAACAAAATCACTTAAATTTATTTAGCGACGTCTCCTCTATGTCCTTTTATCAATCTCTTTTCTCTTTTCTCTAATATTTTCAAAAGTTATATTCTCCACTCTGCATCGACAAGTAAATCAGATTAGAGGTTCACATTTTCTTTTTCACTAAACAAAGTGATAGGAAGTCAAATTTTGTTTATGATCACTTATATACGCTAACATTCATATGTTTATATCATTGGTGCTCACATTAAGACCTCTCTAACTTGGTTATATAACTCAATGGAGGTAGGTTTGACTCATTGTGGTCACTTGTCGCTACTTACATCTTCCTCTTTGTCTTCCATCGAAAATAATGGTAAAAACTATTCATAGGCAATGGAGAATTTCATCAGAATAGCATGGTTCTTGGGTGTTTGGGAAGATATAAATTATACTCCAATCAATAGTTAGTCTTGTTTTCTTTATTCCTGCTACATATTTAGCTCTATTGCAACACTCAAAATATTATCCCATAAATCCTTGTCATGTACTCCTCTTGATGTATCTAATAGCTTGTTTGACATTGATGTCCTCATCTCTTTAGTTGTGAACTGGCAAAGTAAGCACCCCTTGGGCTAACTATCACCTATCTACTATGAAACTTGCTCCTCCCTATTTATGTTGATAATCTTAGAAGAAGCATTGATGGAAAATTTCAAGTTGTCTATGCTTGATCACTACATAGGCTTTATTGATAATATGATGGCTATAGTGTTGGCCACTAATAACCAATATGGCCAAGTATTTGTAACATGACTATAGTATTTAGCGTGGAAATGGTTCACTCGCATTTTACTCAATAACATTGCTTCTTTTAGTAAGGTTTGCTAATACTTAATAATATGATTGGGTCTCATTATTAGAACTAAAATATATCTTACTCATTTAATTCTCTAATTTGATAAGAGTTACTAAAACTCAACTACATGTTCTTCCCAGCCTTTTATGTAGATTGGGAAATAAATAAAAAGACCCTTTATCCTTTATCTATTTAATTTCCTACTTGATTGGATCAAAATATAAAGTCCTTGTTTATGTCTTATGGAGTTCTACTACTTTGCCACTTGATGGTTAGACCACCTTTTGTTTAATATAAATCCTCATATTTTATGAATATTTTATACATTTGGATTACTACCTTGTAGTTGAAGGCATACCAACTTAGAGAAGTCTAAGTATATAAAACTTGATGAATAATAATTTGGGAAGCGTCGATCATATGAGCGCAGGGGCAAAGTCAGAAATTTTTTATCAATTGGGACACAAATTGATGAATTTTAAATACAATCAATCTTTTCAAATGATTTTTTTAACATTCTATTTAATAGAGCATAGTGAAATAATATTCATCTTTCAAGAAATAATTTAATTATTTTGATTAAAAAAATCATATTCCAAGAATATTAATATTTATTTTCAAAAAATTATTATATTCTATTAGTTGTCTTATAAAAAATTATATAATTATCTTATTTCATTTAAATATTTAGTTGTTAGTTTTGTAAAAAAATAAAATTTTAACTTATATTATTTTTCTTTATATATATATATAATAAAATTAATATTTTATATAATATATTAAATAACACTAAGCTCAATATAAATCAAACGGCTTTGAATTCCATGTTGATTCATACACATTTTTTTCCTCTCAAATGCTCCTCACTCATCACCTATTGAAACATTATTGAATAGATGAACAAAAAAAATACAAAATTTACAGAGATGATAAATTTATGAACTCATAAGATGCTAAAGTCTATCAGCAATCCCGCCGGACATTACAGGCCACTGCCCTAGCCCAGAACCGGAGCTGCTCCTTCATTTCCTCGCCGGACCAGCAACCCACCCGCCGTAGAACCACCGGCGGAGCTGACCTCTGCGTGAACCAACCCTCCGGCAAATAAAGCCTCTTCTGCCCACCATCTTCTTCTTCCTCCTTCCTCAGTCCCTCCCTTCCGTCGAACACGAAGCCGAGGTCTTTGAATCCCTGCAACTCCATTGTCTCCAGATCTCCGAGACTCCTCCATCTCTTGCTCTGAAAGGCCTTTCTGTTGCTTGCTTCCCAGCACAGGAGAAGGTGGGGATTAGCGCAGCGCCTGTGCGGGCGTTCGGTTCTTGGAGGCCTCTGCCTTCCCGTGCTCTGTTAAGTATATGAATGTGAATTTGAGCAATTTTTTTTTAATTCATAAATAAAATTTATAAATGGTGCATTAATTTACTTAGGAATATTTTTGATTGGTTTATTATGTTATTGATATAAAATATGAAGGAGGAATTATGAACATGATATTTAATAACGCTTGGTATATTACACTTATGTCAAATATTTAAAATTTTAAAAATTCTTATAAATATTGTTTTACAAGGACACCATAATATAAATTTTTGTATATTTTTTTTGGATAATTGAATTCGAATTATAGGATTAAACTATTAAGAAGTTGATAAAAAGTAAAAAAAAATATGAATTACAATTTTATTATGAATTTCAATATTTTGAATTATCTAAAAAAATTAAATTTATTTATTTATTTATGTAACACTCAAATCTTTAAATTTTATAAAACAATCTTATTAAAATTAATTTATTTAAAGTTAAATAAATCTTTTTATCAACATGCTTTGAGTCTTTGATGTAATTTAGGCAATAAAGTTGTATATAGATAAATATTTAAATATATAAATAAAAAATTAAAAATATATATTTAAATATATTTAATTTTTGGGGTATGAATATCTCTATGTTTAAAAAAAAAGTATGAAAGTATGCATTAATTTATAAATTGTAAAATATTAGTGCTAGGTGCATATAGGATAGCTTTCTAGGGATGAGAGACAGGCGAAATTATTACGTGCGGTCATCAGATGTTGTCCGGAGGTCAATTAGGACGCATCAAGTCACCAATTCACTATATACAACTGTGTATCATGTGACATGACTCATTCTGAATGGCCTCTGAATAGTCTGATGATCGTACGTAATAATTTCTCAAGAGACAGACCTAAGAAGATCATAGGACAACTGTCTATACTAAAATTATTTTTCTTAGTAGATTTAATCTTTAAAATATTTAACCAGCCCTTTGATAAATACATTTGCACAAAATTCTAAAAAAAAAATTCTTTTTAATTTTATCTCTAAAATTATGTAGTCTCAATCTTATTTTGGTCACTCTCGAAAAAGAGTTCGATTCTATCCCATCAATGATTCGATATTATTGATCATATCTGTATACGCTGAAATATTATTGAATGTGTACTGCAAAAAGTGCCCTTAGCTGAGTACTAAATATGAAAAACATTGAGTGAAAAATCCACATCAAAATTTATCATAAAATTTGATTTTTTTTATTTTATTTAAAGATTAATATAATATATAAATAAATAAATTACTCCTAATTATATTTATTCAAAATAATTTTAAAATATTTAAATTCATCATATGAAGAATATTTTAATTCAATTTTTTTGCTATTAAAATATGATTTCTACAATAAAAAATATCACTTAATTTAGATCTTGACATTAAATAATCTAAAGACATTGCTTATAGTGTTTTGTGAAAGCAAATTGCAGTACACAGAACAACTTATTTTAATTAAGCTTGCTTCTTAGCCAAGGCAAGAATCATTAGTGAATAATTATACAATTAATTATTCTTAATTATTCTTTTGATAATGATAGATAGTGTTGCTTTGCTGTAAAAAATTAAATTATTAGTAATCCTACAAAAAATGTAAACTATACTTTGTTAAGAAAATAATATTGATTTAGAATATTCTTAGATCAGAATATACAATATGTTTCTGGTAATTTATTTTCTTTAAATAGTTATTTGAACTTGTTTTGATTATTTTATTTTTTATAAAGCTTTTTTATTGTTAATTTTCAAATTAAAATAAAATTTAACAAAAAAATTAATATGGTATTTCATGAAGAGAAAAAAATTGAGTTAGAATATCTTTTTTTTTTTAAATTTATTTTTCTTAAATATTATATTATTTTTTTGCAAAATATTTATAAGAATTATAAAAATAATTACATATACTTGATTTTATTATTATTTTTTCTTATTATGTAAGTAGCCTTGATTGTTATCTTTTGAAATAAATATTTATACTTTTTAAATTAAAAAAAAATCAGTTTAAAGTTTTTTTTATCTGCAAATATTGAATTTCAAGAGGCCAAATTTAAAAATATATAAAATCTAGTAAGGAACAAAATAACTTTATCGAATGATAAGACTTGTCAACAGTCTCTCTCTAATCATTCTCTCTCTATTTGTGTAACACAACAAGGGGCAATGCAAGTGGAGTAATATTCCAATCTCAAATAGAAATATATTTTTTTGATAAATTTAAAATGAAAATATAATTTTTTTTTTTTTATGTTCAATGATGTTTTTTATTTCTATTTATTCTTTTTAAAAGTAAATAATGGGATTTGTAAATTTTATTTTTTATTTTAAATTATATTCAATTATTTATAAAATCTTAAGAAAAAAATATCATATGTTATCTACAAATAATAGAAATAGAAATAAAATAAAGCTTCCTATTAAAGAAAATAATTTAAATTTTATGATGTTTATATAAATTAATAATAGATTATTTTAAAAAAGACTATAATATTCTGACACAAAATGCTATAAATTTAAAAAAAAAATCTTTATTATTCAATATTAAAATTGATAACAAAAGATCATCATACAAATATTAAACAAGAAAAAAAATGCTCGATCATTATTTTTTTAACTAATTGCACATATATTCAAATACTTTTATTAATTCTTTTTTGAAGTAAAATTAAATAATGGCTCTTAATATTTTTTTAGCTAAAGTTAACTTTGGATTCTATTTTATCAGTTAATATTTTTGTCTTATATAAAATAGTAATCAATAATTACTTTACATATTATCTAATAAAATAGAAAAATTTATTTATTTTATCACTTGATATAAATGTCTTATAACTAAAAAATTATTTTCCATTAAAACAATCAAATCATGCAAGAGATTCCTTTCACCATCTATTTGGCATTCCCTATAAGAACACAGATAAATAAAATTGTAGAGAAAAACAGGGTATTTAAAACAATAAAATTACCTAATTTCTAATCATAAATAAAATCAAAATTAATTAAAGTATTTGTATTATAATATATGATACAAACATAAAATTATATCTATAATTAACAAGAAATTTTTTTTATGAGAAGATTGTTATGTATCAATTTTATAAGATAAATCTGATAAAAATTGAGCTCACCCAACTTTTTTCATTTGTGGAAGAACAGATTTTTGAATAAAAAAAATATTCTGACAATATTTATAAAAAAGATTTAAAAATGAGTAAATTTATTTTGATACTAATGTAATATAAAATTAATTTATTGCATATATAACATTAGTTTTAAATTAAATTTAATAATTTTGAAAGGAAAATCATCATATAATTTATAAAAAAAATCACCATAGAATATCATAATATAGTTTGTTTTAAATAATGCTGAAATTGTAAAATTATCAGAAGAAGACTCAAGAAACCGTGCATACCTTGGAAGAAGATGAAGAAGAGATAGATTGCTGAACAGGATCATCCAAGGAGCTGTAAGAGTATCTCAGCTTTCGACCGGAGCAGTAGTTCCTCGGCCCTGCCTCTTCTTCTTGCCCGCCGCTCCCATCGCATCTAACTCGAGAAGGAGGCAGTGATGGAGTTCGTATCAGTTGGCGAGCTGAAAAAGAATCCATCTTCTCAATCTTCACCGTCGTCTCCGCCACCTCCGTTTCCGCAGCCGCCGCTGGCGGCTGAGGCGGCCTTTCATGAAGTGATTTCTTAGTTACTACCAAGTCGCCATTCAGAGCGTTGCAGAAGAACCATTGCTCGTCAAAGAGATGCAGAAAGTTGGAAAGGCTAATTGAGCTTTTCTCCTGCTCTGCTATTTCTCCGCTTGTTTTTTTACTCATCATTGAAGAGCTATTTGGGAGTTTGGTGGAAGAGAATGAAGAAGCTCAGAGAGGAAGGTATAGAGCGATAAGAAGCAAAATTGTGTGAGCATATAATAATAGATTTTGAAGACTTTAAATTATGTAAGAATATATTTGTTGCGTCAAGAAGTATTCACGGTAGTAGAGAAATATATAGTTAAACGCCTTAGTATTGTACGAAGATCCAGCACACAAACAGATTAGACAGAGGGTGTAACATTCATAAGAGACACCATAATTTTTACGTGGAAACTCCTGAAAAGAGGGAAAACTATGGGGTCTGGCCCAGTTTGAACGAATCCACTAGTATTTACAATCAATTACAAATGAGGCTTTTTCTTGGGAAAAGGTCTTGGCTTGATGTCACAAATGTATGTCATAAAGAACACATTACATAGTAAGAGTTACAATAATCAATATAGACATATTTTTTTGGATGGAAGGGCCATAGTCGGCACAAGACAGGGATCCAAAAGATTGTAGTTGGCAAAAAACCAGGGTAAAAAAGATCGTTGTCTAGTGATGGATGTCGGAAGGACCATAGTAGATAGAAGACAGGGGTCCAAAAGATCGTAATAGAATGATAGTACACCGGGAGAACTCTGGATGTAAAGTGGTGGCCCGGCATAAGTCTGATCTCAGGTGGTAGTCCGGCAGAAGTCCAAGTGTCAGGTGGTATCCTAATGGAGCTCAAGACATCAAGTAATTGTCCGGTAGAGGTCCAAGCGTCAAGTGGTGGTTCGACAGAAATCTGGGCCTCAGGTAGTGGTCCGGTAGAAGTTTGGGCCTCAGGTGGTGGTCTGGCAGAAGTCCAGACCTCACGTAGTGGTGCGGCAGAAGTTCGGGCCTCAGGTGGTGATTTGGCAAAAGTCCGGGCCCCAGGTGGTGGTCTGGTAGAAGTCCCGGACTCAAGACATCAAGTAATTCATCGGCTCCGGAACAGAACAGATATCAGATTTCAGAACGATATGTACAGAAAATCACCTGGAGCAAAACTGGGCAAAATTTTCACTGATCGTCCCAGGACGATCCAGATCGTCCTGGACGATCCTGGAGCAGATTTTTGATATTACACTGAGCCTCAGGTGGTGGTCCGGCGAAGCTCAGGACCTCAAGTGATGGTCTGGCTGAGCAACGATGTCATGGCCTCTAGTGGTGGTCCAGCGGAGGTGAGGATCTCAAGTGGTGGTCCGGCTGAGCTCATGGCCTCAAGTGGTGGTCCGACAGAGCAATGACGTCAGGCGGTGGTCCGACGGAGGTCAGGACCTCCAGTGGTGGTCAAGCGGAGGTGAGGGCCTCACGTGGTGGTCCAGCGGAGCAACGACGTAAGGCGGTGGTCCGGTGAAACTCAGGTGGTGGTTGAGGAGGAGTGAGAAGGCAAGAGTGATATCTGATCTCTCTCTTGCTCTCTTGCTTGGAGCCCCCTTTTCAAGAGAAAGGAGTGGTCTATTTATAGATTTTTTAGAGTTGTATTGCCCGTAAATATTAGGAGGATCAAAGGCAAATGGGGAGTGGTTGGAATGGACGACCGATGTTGAATCCCTTGATCGTGGATCGTTTCATAGACATTTGAAGGTCTTAATGATGTCGGAATTCTGCGATCTTAGCATTGCTGAATTCGTCTCGTCGATCCGCTCGTTTCGATTATAAGTATGTCATGTTTGGAAACCGTTTGGTAATCAAAATTGTGGTTCGAACCCTCCAACAGCACTTCACGTCCTTGATTTGGACCCATTTGGGCTCAGATTGCGTCGAATTTGGTGTCGTTGGGTTCGTATTTCTGAGACGTTCAGTTCGACTATAAGTTTGCTGAAATCGAAGTTCGGATGATTCCAAATTTAATTTTGAAAATTTCCAACTTAATTTTGCCTTGAGATTCGTGCCCGATCAAAATAATTTTTCGATTACGTATCAATATCAATATTGATACGAAGTGTTAGAATGAATTTATAATTTATAAATTTATATTGAGATTAGTCCAGTGCATAATATTATATATAAGCACTAATATTATGCTTTGTTTGTGATATTTTTTAGCAATTAATAAAAAATAATATATATTTGGACCACAATTTTTACATTAAAATTTTCAAAATTTATTTTATATTTTTTAAAACACATTTAAAATTGTGATTTTAAAAGGAGCTGTTCCAAATGAAACTTTAATGTAAATTCCGGACATTTTTTTATGATTTTTTTTTCGTAAGGTTCTATTGGGATAGCGGCAACTTTTTTAAAAATAATAATAAAATTATAATCATAAAAAAAAATAATTATTTTGAAAGTTACTAAAAAACAACTTCATAGCACAAAAATTTCATGAAAGCAATAAAAAAAATGATAAAATTGCCCCCAAAAAGAAGCTTGAGATTTCATTTGTGACAACTTATTTATTTATTTATTTTTATTTTAAAAAGCGACTTAAATAAAAAGCTATCCCAAAAGTAGTCTCAGACTTCATTTGGGATGACTTTTTTACTGTTTCTTAAAATAACTTTTTAGTACAAAAATATAAAAAAAGTTACTTAGATTTATTTGGGATGACTTTCTTACTGCTTTTTAAAATAGCTTTTTAATATAAAATTTTAATTTTTAAACTAAAAAATTATTTTAAATAATAATAAACAAATCGTCCCAAAAAACCCTTAGAAACAACAGAAGACTACAGCTCATAGTTGGCTAAATAATGGGTTGCTTCTCTTCCTTTCTCTCTTCTGCACATTTTTTTATCATGTTAGTTTGATGGTTGGGGAGTTGAGAAAGCTGTGGAAGGTAGTAGCAAGAAAGAAAGAGTGTGTCGTGCACACGTGGCAGTTGTTGATACGTCTATTTCAGTGATCAGTCGAAGGCGCGGAATTGCGATGGGAACATGGGATGGGGCTTGGCATTATTGGCAAATGGGGGAAGATGACACAGCATGTGCAATGATCCGGACATAGTGGCACATCAATGAAATATAACAGATAAATAATGATCGCCTGCGAATAGCGAACACAGAAACAGTGGTTTGGTCCAATAACAGAAGGAAGTTTCTGGTTAGAAGTGGGCCATTGGGTTGTCATGACCGATCGCCTACAGTAATGTGGGGACGGCCGCAGAGAACCGTGTAGGCCCGTTAATTCGGTGGAGTAGTAAGAATTTTTTTTATGAATTAATTATTTTAAATGCAGCATTAATATTTTTCGACTAATAATCTGGATTTAAAATTTTAAAAAATAACATAAATAAAAAATGAAAATATTTAAAAATATTTTAAATTTATAAGGAATAAATCCCCTTCTTGTATACTTAATTTTTTTATTTTAATTATCTAAATATACATTATTTATGAATATATACTTTTGATGCTTTATAAAAAAATTGTCTTGATCTTACACCAATCATGAGGCATATTTAAGTTTGGAAATTTTTAAAATTAATTTTGGGACAATCCGAACTTCAAATTCAGTAAACTTATAGTCAAATTGAACATCTCGATGAGACGAACATAATGACATTAAAATTGATCCAATCGGGGGACAAATAGGTCCAAATCAGGGGACTGAAGCATATTTAAAAAGTTTCAATGCATTAATTGGGCGATCAAATTATATATAAATATTGCATGCTTATAGAGAGACAAATCCAACGAGCCAAAGATTGCTTAATTTTGATATCATTTATGCACATAAATGCGTGTCAAACACTATGATTGAGGGAATCAATATGAGTTGTCTGATGGAGCACTCTGAATTTGTCACAATTTTTTTTCATATTTACAGAACAAGCAACATACAAAAATATATAAATAGATCCTCCCCCTTCCCACATGAAAGGGGTTTTGAACCTTTGTGAGCTTGGACATTTTGATGGAGATTTGAGAGAGCTCTAAGGCTTCAATGATCCCAGAGTTCTACCAAAGAACCATCATTAGTGAAATTCCAACAACCATCGTTGGGCCACCGCTCCGTCACCAATCATCGCGGACAACCACCCAACCTCTGATAGTTGCTGGACCATCGTTTGTCTGCCGACTATGGTTCCACCGACCATTGCCCTCCAGCTAAGGTCCCTCCAACCTTAGTTATCTATCGACTATGATCCTTACTTCGTACCAATGTCACCCACCAAATAAGTTCTCTCAGATCACCGTCGGCAACTAACTATGGTCCCTAAGACCAAGATCGCCCGCCAATTACGGCTCCTCCGACCACCATCGTCCACTGATTTTGATCCCTCTGACTAACTTCGCTTGCCGATTACAGTCCCTCGGACCACAAATGCTCGCCGACTACAATCACTCCAACTACTGTCCCCCGTTGAGTATGGTCCCTCTAACATCCATCACGTGACAAATGTGGTGCCTCAGACCACCATCACATTCCAACTACAGTCACTTAGACCACCGTTGTGTGCCAACTATGGTCATTTCGACCACCGCCGCCCGCTAAACTACCAAATATGGTCCCTCTGATTGGCGTCTCTTGTTGACTATTATTCCATCGTACACTGTCGCCTATCAACTACAGTTCCTTTGACCATTATTGCCCGCAGACTACGATCCCTCAGATCACCATTGTCCACCGACCATGATCCCTCAAACCTTTATCATCCATTGACTATAGTCCCTTTGACCTCAGTCGTCCACCGACTACGATCCCTTCGACCATTATCACCCACCTATTACAGCCCCCCTAAAAATTGTCACCTGCCAATCATGATCCTTACAACCACCGTAGCTCGCCGACTATGCTCCCTCCAACCACCATCACCAACCGACTATGATCCCCCCAACCATCAACGCCTCTAAACTACAGTGCCTTCGACCATTGTCACTTGCCGACTAAGGTCCCTCCAACCTATCCAACCTTTGCGCCCATCGATTATGGTCACTCCGACCACCGTCTCCAGCCAACTACGATCCCTTGAACCACCATCACTAATCGACTACTGTCCCTCTGACCTCCTTTGCATGCCGACTACGGTCCCTTCTACCTTCGTCACACGCGTGACTGCAGTCCCTTTAACCATTGTGCCACATTGAATACAATCCCTCCAACCAGCATCGCCCGCCGACTATGATC